ATATAACGCGTGCGCACACTGAGCCGTACTTGCTCTCTCGTCCCTATCTCGCACTACCACTCAGCGTTCATACGCTCGCGTTGGATAGTCCAGTCTGCGTATCACACACAGCTGATACATCTGGCCACGACATGCCGCCAGTAAGCTTTCACGCCTAGACAGACGCTCAAGAACTGACTTGCGTGCACGTTCTAGATTTAGGACAGACTGACATCTTTTTTCTTCCAGCATATCACGCGGTATTTGCTCCCTTTATTTGTTAATAAAGCAGTATCGTGAGTCCTCGCACTTGTCCGTTAAACACAAAAAAACCTTCCTTCCTTTAATTATTCCTTCCTCAAGTCCAACTACATCGTCAATACGTCGATTTCCTTTCTATTAACAGGAATCTGCGGCAAAATAGTAGAAGGCTATTTCGCCGGTCATACTGCGGCAAAATAGATAAAGGCTATTGTGACGCAGTGTGCGGCAAAATAGTGAATGGCTATTTTCCCGGCCATAATGCGGCAAAATAGCTAAAGGCTATTTTACCGCAAACACTGCGGCAAAATAGCCACTTCGTAATTTCACTCCTGATTTCTTACATCATGCCGAAGCCAAGCAGTAACACTGCTGCGGATCATCAGCTTCCTCAGGATTGCCCCGCTAACGCGGCGGAGTTCTTGCGTGGAATGCGTGATCTGCAGGCAACGGGTACCTTTTGCGATGTCGTCTTGAAAGGCAGTGATGAGTAGTACGTTTGTTTAACTCACGCCAATTCTGCGCATGTGCATTTGCATTTGCACGGATGCGCAAGTGTGTATGAGCATTTGCACACATGCGCATATGTATAAGTGCATTTGCAATTGCACACATGCGCACAAGTATACGATACACCTGTGCATGTGCATCTGCACAGATATGTGGATAAATGGAAATAATTTTGTAAATTTGATTTGTATGCTGACCACAACACAGTATGTCGTGATTGAATGTACCATGTACCATGGTACATGGCCCAGGTATGGTACAGGTACCGTTACCATGGTAACGCGTACCTGGTGCCAAGTACCAGTCGCATAATAACAGATATGCATTGGCCTATGAAAATCTAGTTGGTAATTACAAACATGTGTGCATTCTATCTGAAAGTTACGGAAGAAAACTGTTTTCGGCCATTGTATACTATCCAATCTTTTTTGAACCATTGCAACTGCTACTGATTTGTTTACCGGGTGTTGATATGATATTGTTGTACTATTCCATGGATTAACCAGGATTGATAGCCAATTACTTTCAAGCTCTAACGGAATAACGGGTAAGGGGGAAAGAAGTAAATGTTTGTTTGGTTTACTTTCGTTTCACCCTGAATTCCGATCTTGCGTCAGATTTCGTTCTGTTTGTGTGGATATTTAATTGCATTATTTAAAGCTTTATTGCATTTGATTTACCAGCTTTACTTAATATATGTCGTCATAAACAACTCCGTTTATCATGGCATCATTTTGTAAATAAAAAACCACAATATCAAACAATGTTTCGTCGGTACATGTGACAAAAGAAATTGCAAACACTACAATTCCAGTTTCTGGATACAAAACGTTTTAATGTGTGAAAACCAGGCTCTGTAAAGTTTGGATTCCAAAACGCCCAGGGTGCCATTGCTATCAAAGGCCAGCAGTGCTTCCCACTATTTGCAAGTATTTAAGCACCGTAGATCCACCCTTTTTTTGTGTCGAAGAACTCCCGAAATACGGAATGGTCGTTATTGCGGACATCGGGTACCCTCCACATGGTATTCCGGGATCTGCGGTCTGAACAAAGGACTTAGGGTTACATTCTTTATCGGGCATCTCGTTTATCTTTATTGCCTCACCTTTGTCGAAGAGACGGAACGCAGGATGTGAGTTATAGCGTCATATTACGTAATGTCTGATTCCAGGAATCACTTTGTAGGACTTTTCCTATTCCTTCCGTAATGATTATAGCAGCGAATACTATAAAAAATAACACGTACAGAATCACTAACAAAACTTTTTCGCATTTCTTCTGGACGCCAACAGCGTCCGGAAGCATATGCTGTAGCCCAGCCATGTTATGCACCTTGTGTTGTGTTTGCAGTGCTTAAATAGACTCGTTATTGTTTTTGTGCAGACATGAACATGAACAGAAGAGCGCTGAAAAGGTGTCACCTTTTCTGCTGGCTGAAGCAAGGAATACCAATCGAGAAACCATGTGCGGAGCGGTGGATAGCTTCTAATTTCAACATCAGATTACTTAATTTGCTGAATTCGCCATTTAAGCACGTAGAACAATACTGAAAACATTATTTTCAAAAATGTATAGTACTGTTAAAGAATATCCGCGCCTCAGTGCGCCCTTTGGGATGTGTGTTTGTGGACCGACCATGTCGGGTAAATCAGAGTTTGTTTTCTCATTAATTGAGCAACGGAACCGCATGATTGATAAACCACCAACAAAAATTATCTATTGTTACGGTGCTTGGCAAAGTGGATTCGAAAAGCTACTATCTGCAAACCCTTTTATAGAATTTATTAAAGGATTGGACGAATTCTTTGCCTGTTCCGAGTCACTAGATGAAAAGGTGCCTACATTAGTTGTTATTGACGACTTGGCGACTGATCTCTGCAAAGACGTGCGGTGTGCCAATCTTTTTACACGCGGAATCCATCACAAAAATGTTTCAGTTATCGTGCTTCTACAAAATCTATTTAAGCAAGGCAAGGTCATGCGGGACATTACCCTCAATCTACAGTATATAGTCCTTTTCAAAAACGTGAGAGATGTAAATCAAATAGCATTATTGGCCAGACAGACCGGACTGAAGCAACTGGTTACTGCTTATAGTAAGGTCACTGCACTACCGTACCAACCTTTAATTTTGGACTTGCGACCAACGTGCCCAGAATACTTACGTATTCGCTCCCATATCTTTCCCAACGAGCACATGAGGATTTATTTGGATCGAAATTCGTCACAACTGCCAAAATGTCGGAACGCGTAAAATCGTTAGCACCCTTTATCATCACCCTACAGAATTTAAAACCGCGACAACGACGCGTTCTGATGAGTTACATGAGTAAACCGCAGATGAAAGCTTTGGAAGAAATCGCCGTCAACATTGTAAAAAATACTGTCGCATTGACACCATCCCAAATGGATAAATGTAAACGCCATCGCAAAGCATTAAAGCTCATTGCACTGCGACGCTATCCTCTCAAACAAAAGCGAATAATCTTACAACAAGGAGGATTTATTGGGGCTATCTTACCGGTTATTGCTGGGGTCCTAACATCGTTGATTGGAAATGGATGGGTACTATATTGTTCCTAGACGCATTATGGAAGAGCGCCTGCATGAGAAAATACAAGTTAACAAAGAACCTCCGGAAGCCAGAGCTGTTGTTTCTTTGGACGAACTTGTTGCCAAAACCTTAAGACGAACCGATATAAACGAGTATGAGAAAGCCGACCTGCTAACAAGCATTTTGGAGCGTTTCTTAGCATTGAAACAAAAAGTCTTACCTGACGAAAACCCTGTGCAATTCTCCGATGAAACCGTGTTGCAACCGGCACCATTAGGAGTACAACAAGAGCTGGAAAAGTTTCGCAAACGCAAAAGAACTGACGAAGATGAAATAGAACAAGTGCCAAAGCAACCGCGCCCACAATTATTTCCATCGACGTTGCCAACCAAAGGGCAAAAAGGTATCTGGAAGACGATCGAGATGGTCCAATAAAACATGGTCGTGTCGCCTTGTTTCCACCAACACTGCCAGCAAAAGGACGAAAGCGTAAAACCGCGGACGATCATCCAAATAGCCGTAAACAACGCCGTGTACCCTTGTTTCCATTATCCATTGGAAAAAGGAAAACGGAAAGTGCCAACGAAGATACCGGTCGGAAACTGCGTTCCCGAACTGTTCAAAGTGGTAGTGGTCAACATAGGATTCAGTGGATAACCTTACCATAATGTCCAGCTTTCTTCCTACTGTATTGCGACTGTGTCGGATATTTAAGATCAATTGCGTATCCAGTTGTTGCAATAATGGAGAAACTGATGAAAAAATATCTGAACCCTCGCGATCCCGGAAGTCTTGGCGGCGTCGACAGGTTCCGAAAAAGTTTAAAGACCAGAGCCGACAAACGGAAAGCACAGGCGATCTTGCAGGAGATCGATGCCTACACTGTCAACAAAGAATCACGCAAACGCTTCCCGCGCAACCGCATAATAACAACTAAACTCCGCCAACAGTATCAAGCGGATCTGGCCGATCTAGCCAAGTATTCGAAGGAAAACGATGGATACAAATATTTGCTGTTTGTTATTGATTGTTTTTCCAAGAAACTCAGTATTCAACCTCTGAAAACCAGAACGGGTGCTGATACCAAGGAAGCGCTAACCAATGCGTTCAATGATTTGGGAGAGCCGGAAAAACTGCAATATGATAAAGGGACTGAGATGTTGAATAGAACGGTGGCCAAGTACTTGAAAGACAAACAAATTCAATTCTTCACTTCCGAGAACGAAGACATCAAGTGTTCGATGGCGGAGCGCGTTATTCGAACCATCAAAACGCGGATATTTCGATTGTTTCGGTCCCGCTTATCGACGCGCTATATTGACAAAATGCAAGACCTGGTGTACTCGTACAACCATTCCAAACACCGTGCGCATGGTATGCGACCCAGTGATGTACGGCAAGACAATTCGTTGGCAGTGTACAATGCTTTGTACAAGCACAAAGACGTCAAGAAGCCACGGTACAAAGTCGGTGATGCCGTGCGGATTGCGGTGCATAAAACAAAGGTGGAAAAAGGGTATACTTACCGTTTCAAAGAAGAAATCTTCTACATCCATCAGGTGATCCCGCATCGTATTCCGGTCTATCGTTTGAAGGATTACCAAGATGAAGTTATTAAAGGAAAGTTTTATGAGCATGAACTGTCACCAGTCTCGAATCCACAGCATAAGGAACACGCAATTGATTTTATTGTTAAGCGGCGCGGAAAGAAAGCATTAGTCCGTTGGTTAGGTTACGGACCCGAACACGATTCTTGGGAACCACTATCATGTTTGAAGGAGCGCCTTTCTACATAACCTTACCCAGTGATGTCGCCACAGAAGCGGCCAACACGCCCTCCAACTGGACTACCAAACTGAAGCATCCCATTACCTTGAACGGCAAATGGGAAATGGCCCTGGTGGAACTGCAGTATTTAAATTCTTTCTATACTCTACCTACCGAGCAAAAAATTCAACTGGATATTGTCCGCGAATTTCGGGTTAAAAAAGAAGAAGACTTTATTGATAGCGTCAATTACGTTGTGCACCAAGAAATTTTGACGGTTCCTCCCGGAAATTATAAGAATGCCGAGCTTTTACTGCAAACCGTCAACAACTTAGCTCCTACAATCGGACCGTACATGGTGGATGACGCTGTACATCAGGATAAAAGTGCTTTGCCGGATAACAAAGCTTTCAACTTGCAATTTTTAACCTCAACAAACCACCGAGTGAAACTGCTTATTGGCAACGATCGAGTGTCAGTTACGTTTCCCCCTGGATCCGTTACCTTGCAAAAAATACTAGGGTTTGAACAAGCGGAATTTAAACCAGATGTACCCGCAGAAACTCACTCCAATGCACTGGGACCCTTTCCGTTTGTTACCAAAACCAGTAGCATCAAGTACTTGTCATTCCTCAGTAAAGCTCCTCCACCTAAACTGACCACCTTCTTGTCGGAACGACCGGTGAACACCATGCTGGGGAACCAAAGCCTGTTTCTGTACAGTGATGTTGCAGACTACAGCCTGATTGGTGATACTGCCGCGCAGTTTTTGCGCGCTGTACCTATTAGAGGGGAGGTCAACCAAATTGTGGAAGCACGTTTCGACATTCCCCACTATGTTCCCGTATTACGCCAACATTTCGAAACTATTCATTTAACTATTGCCAACGACCTGGGTGACGACGCTAAATTTCAGACGGGAAAATCACTAGTAAAATTACATTTTCGACCACAACGCTTATACTGAAAATGCCCCTCGTCGCCTATGTCCCAGACCCGCGACGCTACGAAAACGTTTTCGTGAGCCAAACGGGAGGAAGTGCTCTCATTCGCTATCGTGGCACACTACAAAATGGATCCGGGTTCCCACAAATTTTGAAGAATTTATTTGCCAAAATTACCAACTTTGCCAAACCGATACTGCGTAGAGCAGCGCCGCATGCTAAAGCTGCTTTGGAAGCCGCCACCCCTCACTTGCAAGATGCGGCAACCGGGGTTATTAAAGAAGCAGGAGCGGCGATTGGTAAACGCCTAGTTTCGCAAGAAGGAGAAGGCGTTCGGAAGAAACAACGTGTTAAACGTAAAGTACATCGCATTAAACGTATTCCGCCAACCAGCATTCCGGACTTTTTCTAAACAATGGCAATGCTCATGATGGAACATTCCGAACCGGCCATGCAGCTGGAAAATCAGCTGTTTGCCTTGCCGGCTACATTGACCGACCGCTGGCGTACCGAACACGAGAAACTGAACCCTACAACTATTTTGACCGACAATGGATCCGCTGGTGACATTAATTTCTTTATACCACCTAGTACGGCTGGTCTGCTCAGTTTGGCAGATATGATATTGGAGTTGGAAGTGGGCATCAAAGTGCGTAAAACTACCGGTGACTGGGAATTGGTAACCGCGGATGATGGGGTGGCACCGGTCAATAATTTCTTGCACTCGCTCTTCTCATCCTGTCATGTAACGGTAGCCAATCGACTGATCTCGGATGCCGCCACGTTCTATCCGTACCGAGCATACTTTGAGTCATTGCTATCGCATAGCAAAGAGGCTCAAAGTAGCCAGTTGACTTCGGCTGCATTCTATTTGGACACGCCCGCCAAACATAACGATGAGACGTCTAATCAAGGAGAAAAGAGCCGTAAGGCTTTATTTCAAACCGGACAATATGTTCAACTTTCTGGAAGACTGTTTTCGGACTTGTTTGACCAAAGCAAACCACTGTGCACAGGGGTTCCTGTGAACATCCGTCTGGTAGTCAGCCGCCCTGAATTTGCCCTGCGTGTGTGGGATAAAGATGCCACGAAAACGTTTAAGCCCTTCATTCGCAATGCTCGGTTGTCTATCCGACGCTACATTCCCTCACCGGATTTTCTGACAGCTGTTGCTGGTGAATTGTTAAAGAAAACCGTCAAATATCATGTTGAGCGGATAGTTATGCGCGTGTCGGACATTCCGCAAAAGACGCAAAGCACCGTGGTCAGCAATCTACAGATTGGGCAAATACCCAAAGTCGTGTTCGTTGGATTTGTCGATAGCGAAGATTTTCACGGATCCATCAAAAAGAATCCGTTTAACTTTCAACATTTCAACATTACACAACTTAGTGTGGAAGTGGATGGTCAGAGCTTCCCTAGCAAACCCTATATAAGTGATTTTGAACACAACTTATCCTTGGAGTGCTACGATGGTTTGCTCGATACTCTGGGATACCGACCGAGTTTGCAAGGCGGACTACCGTTCAACCGCACCGAATATAATCAAGGATATACCATATTTGGTTTTGACCTTACACCAGGACATACTGGCCGCGGACCTTTGACCTTGATAAAACAAGGAAATCTGAGTGTATCAGTTTCCTTTGCTAAACCATTGACGACAACAATCATGATGGTGTGCATGCTGATTTATGACAGCATCATCGAAATTAATCAACATCGCCAGTTGATTGCGGATTTTTCAACATGAACACGGAGCAAATTCACCACTGTCTGCAGGGAAATCCTGTTACCACCCAGCTGTTCCGCGGTGTGTTTGCCAGTGACCGAGTTCCGCCATGTTTAGCCCCGTACCCTGGAGCATGTGTAGTTAACACGGACCCCTCTGACCAAAATGGTGCACACTGGATTGCTTTGCTACAAACCCAAGCGGGAATCTTGGAAGTGTTTGATTCGTATGGTAAAGCGTTGGAAACGTATTCTCAGCACTTCTCTATGCTTGCTCAGAATAATACTATTGTCTGTCAAGACGAACAGTTTCAGTCCGAATATAGTACCGTGTGTGGTCAATATTGCTTATTTTTTGTTTTGAGACGCGCTAGCGGCGAATCTTTCACTAATATTGTACATTTATTTACCGATAATCGAACAAGCAACGACAAGATGGTGTGTCAGTATGTAAATTCTTTTTTTGATATCAATACAGCACTAGTTGACGGATCTTTTCTCCGTCAGATATGTCAACGATTAATGAAATGAACCATGCAAAAACGATCTGTTCAAAGAAATAAATAGAACAAATGCCGTGTTATACTGTAGTGACAACCATAAAATGCATTACAGAAATCCTAAGTTAAACTTGGTTCAGAGAGCAGTTTACTTGCATACGGATTTGATTTTCATGTGTATCCAAATACTTCACCACATCCAAACTTAAAGCTTGCTTAAAGCTCAGTTCTTCAAAACCAAACAAAATGCCATGCACAAAACGAGCATCCAACAGACGTTGCACAGCATCTTTCCATTCCGTATCCGTTAACACGTCCCGGAAATCAGGGCATCTTTCATGAACTAGTTTCACCATAGCATCAATAATAGCGTCGCACAACTTCTCATGACAAAGACCTTTTTTGTCCGCATCCACATCCTCAACGATTTCGTCCACACTGACAATATGTTTGAAGAGAGTGAAATCCCGTATGAGTTCTTTCAACGCTTCGTAGCACTTCTCGTTCAATGAAATCCCGTTTCTCGTGGGCATCAAATCACCTTCCTGAGACCGCTGATAGCGGCGAAAGCTGGCCACGTTAGGACGGCTCCAGCTGAAGTACACCCCTCGGTCCAGTAAGAATAAAGGAGGTAAATTTCCATTGGAATGATCCAGATCGGCTTTTCCCGTCAGCAGTAACGATACCAAGCGCATGAATCCTCTTTTGGTAAGGCTTATCGTTTTCGCCCACGTCTGCTTCCATTTCCCGGGCGGTCCTTCCTTCCATTCACCAATAAAAATTCGAGTTTCTTCCCACTGATAATCGACATGCACAAATTTCTCGTTGCCCAGACGATACACAGGACGACCGTTCTCTGTGAAGGCTAAACGAGGATGAGTCTTCTCGACACTGCACTTAGTCTTGTTGACTAGTGGCATTTTAGGCTTCGAGTCTGAACGGCGGCGTTTTAGAGATGGTTCCATTTTTGTCAGAACTGAACTCAAATGAAGTGTATGTTGAGCGCACGCAAGTTGTAAAACAAATGTTTGAAGGTCAACTGTGGTACATGGTGCCAGGTAAAGTACCTGGCACCAGGTACCATAAACCAACGCTGTTGCCAAGTGATAAACGAGTTGTGTATTTCAGTCTAGTCTTGACCATGGCTCTGCCATGTGTTTTAGATGCTGATTGGTTTATAATTGAAAAGGTACCATATATCAAACAGCTGGCCTTCTCGTGCCCAAAAAAACATGACAGTGGGCAGTACACCTTCAGCTTACCACGATCAGCCGGTAAACACGCTCGCGAGTTGCAGAAACAGGCCAAGCATTCCCATGGGCTTCTCTGGAGCACCTTTGGTGATTATCGACACAATCAAGTGACGGTTGCCTTGGAAGACATGTTTAACCGTATTGGCCGTCCTAGTAAGCTAACTTTCTATGCTAAGGGTTTGGACAAGTGCCGTTTACTGGAGCGTTATGTGCCCCAAGTGGTCAATCTTGAGGAACTAGGTTGCCCCGTCTATCACCGTCTAACAGATGTGCCCCAAACAACACTGCGCAAAGCTATTCGGTTCGGTTTGTGGTTCTACTGCCATGCCAAAAATCATGAATGTCGTTGCCGTTGCGGATTTAAACACTATCCTCAATCTGAAGGAGATTGAAAAGAAAGTACCGATGGCGCAGTATATTCCCCGCAAATTTTCCGGCTTACTCCTTCGTATTCTCTCTCCCTACAAAGCACATTGCCAACTATATTCCAATGGAAAAATCACGGTCAATGGAGCTCGTTCGGAATCTGCTGCCAGAGAATTGGTCGACAAGTTTACCAGCATTCTTCAATCAATTGGGTACCGTTGTATCGTTTCAGGATTTCGAATTGTTAATATTGTTGTCACTCATGATTTTGGTGCGCGTATACATATTGAGAAATTCAGCCAACATTACAAGTTGGAATATACTCCTGAATTGTTTAGTGGTTTGCGTATAAAATTGCCTTGGTTTACGGCTGTGCTCTTCCCATCGGGGAAGTGCAATTTTTTGGGATTGAAAGAAATGCATGACATACAAATATCAGTAAATTTTGTTGGTCGAATGATACAGCAGTTTCCTGCTACTCAATAAATCTATTCAACGGTATATCCGTATGGAACAGTATTCCAGTCTTGCGTAATGCGCCGCTTATCATACGTCACTTGCAGACGCTTAGTTACATCACTATTGCATAGAATAAGCTGAGACTTGATGCGTTTAATAACATCATCATAGTGCACATCAATACAACCAGACTTGTGCAGAATATTCATCATGGACTCCATGTTAACTTTCTCTTTAACCCGATTATTGATGGTGAATCCTTTGATTTTGACTACCGAATGTCCATCGTTTGTCGTGTAGGCATAGGTCTTGGCGCCCAAGCTGACGAATTGCGTAATGTGTTGTCCAGGTTTTAGTTCATCGGTTAAATCGCCCAAAAATCGGCCAGTAGGAGGGTCAGGCCATCCCGGTTTCGACACAAAGAAAATGGAATCTTCAGAGCAAATAAAATAAAAATAATTGCCGTTAAAACATTGTGTTACAGTTAAATACCTGTGTCGAAATACAAAAGGCGCTCTTGAGCCATATCCATAAACTGGTATAGATGCAGTCGTGCCCAACATGTGGTGAACCTAATGCAAAAAAAGTCTTAAATTCTGCATGCTGAATAAAGTTTTTACAAAACTTACGCGGCCAGGACAACATTGGTGTTCGGATTCTGCTCGATAAATCCATCTTCTTTGGTGTATGTGATCTGCACGACGTTGTCATCAAAAAGATCCCACGAATGCACATGGTGTTTGCCGGAAAATAACATTTCATAAAATGTTTTGGGGTCATGAATGTACATGGTATTCAGTTTGTTATCCTGCATTCCCAGTCGGCCCCAAAAACTGTTGAGGCATAGTTTGGCTAAAGCACGTAGTCCGGGATTTTCTTTGACCTTATCATAATCCAACTTGACCCCTTCCCGTTCTTCAAAATCAGCAATGTATTTTCGTTTTTCATTTTCCGCGGTAACATCTGATGGCCATCCACTGGCTTCCGTCTTGATTTTTAAAAAGCGGTCGATATATTCCTTGAAAAGGTGATCATCAAACGTTTCGTAATGCCACACTTCGTACATCTTCGTGACGGTATATCCCCGATCCATAGCAGCATGTATCTCTGGTGTGCACCACGTTCCCGTCAGTTCCCTTTCCGAATCCGTGTGGTCACATTTCTTGCTGTTCTGTTCTTTGACACATGTTGCACATAACGGGAAAGTCAGCTTGCCGTTGCAACGGTAAGGTAAAATAGGTAGCCACAAATCTCCCGGTGGTAGCACTGTGCAGTGGACTAAACCAAAATATTCCCGAACGTTTTGGAAGCTCTTGGTTAAAATAATAGGATGCCCTAACGGATACCGGCGGTTTTTGTTGACAAACGGGTATTCGCTGTTGACATCGAAATACTTGATCTTTTCATCGGCAGCCACCGTATGCAACAGTCGCACGGCATTTGTCCGGCCACCATAGAAAGCGTTCCGAGGGTTTAACGGTTCGGTAATCTTTATATCGTTAATGAACTTGCGCATTTCGGAATCAATGCGAAGGTCTGCGTCAAAGTCATGTTCCCAAACAGTGGTTACTGGGTGACCCAATGAGCGTAAGTACTGTTCACGGTCCATCGTCTCTTTGTAGATGTCACGCATCGGTAGGTTTCGAAACGGATGCACTGTCTCCGGGTCCATACATGTAGGGCAGCCATGGTACCAACATCCATAAAACTCGTAAATGTGACCAGTGTCCTCCTGGTATCCATCCACGTAATAAGGACCGATTTTCTGTTCGGTGCCGGAGACCACAGATTGAATAACGCAATTTTCTTCGTTTTCCATCCATGAAATCCATTTCATAGCCTTGACCGATTGCAAGCGATTGCGGGCAAACCGTTGTTGCGGAACCAGACCGATCTGATTTGCTTTCAGAATGAAGGAGCGCCAGTACAAGTTGCACAGTCCAGCGATTGTTAGAGCAGAGGTGAAAGGACAAAGTCAGTTGCTGATTTCCATGAACAGTTTGCGAAACTGTTGGCAACAGGTCCGTAAGACAGTCACGTCATTTTCGCAGTAGGCGACAAATTCCTTACGAAAATCAAAAAGACCGCTTTTGGCTTTGACATCGGCATCGTACCATTCTTTGAAAGAGGCTTGCGCTTTCTTGTCCATTGTTCGGAACCCATATTCATCCATGCTGGGATACGGCGCAACACGGTCCCAATTTTCGCGACGATTAAATTTATGAGGGAAAGTTCCTTTGCTGATGTCCGGTAATCCGAATGTCGCGGGCCATTTGGCAAGGCTTTGTGGGTTGTAATTTATGCTGTCACGAAAGTGAATATCGTAACCCGGGACATCCAGTTGCAAAATCTTTCCACCGTTCATGATAACTTTAGGGGTCACACCATTTTTTAAAAGCCACTGTAGTATAAAATATCCATCAAACGCTTTAAAATTGTGCGCGATGATGTAATGCCCTTTGTGATGTTCGCTAATCAAAAATTCGCACAGTGGGTCCGTTATGCATTTTTCTAATGGTTCGTCAGTAGAAGGAAAAGTCCACTGAGTTCCTGTATCATCTTGCACGACGGCTAAATTCGGAACCAACTGGCCATCATCTTGGATGTAGGTCTCGAAATCAAAGTAAAGAAACTTAGCATTTTCATTCTTTTCACGCTCTTCCGGGGTAACAGTGTGCGGTTTCATGAAACACTGATGGTTTTCCGGTAATACATGAATGTTGCAATTCTTACAGTATATTTCTCCGCACTGGTGGTTGTTTGATCCTTTCCGGTTCCGCATTGACACCACACACTGGCATTCCAAACAAACTTTGACTGTGCTGCACAACGATTTCCCTCGACTTTTTCTAGGAACCGTTTTGTGGCGATCGAAACATCCTTGCCCATAAAATATACGATTACAGTCAGTGCAGTGTAGAGGATTTGTTGTATCCCGCTCGCAATTCGTTCGCAAGCATTGGTGACAAATATTGCTGCACCGATGAGTGCGACGATCCGAATAACCTTTGCCGCACTGGTAACACCAATACGATCTTTTAAAGAAAGCCGGTAGCGACAACAGTAAATCGTAATGGTGACCATAAAGCAACAATACTATATGACGCTCCTTGAACTTCCCATTGTAAACAATGCTGCTTCCTTGGTCTAAACTGACCACGATAATCTGATATTCTGGGAGCACAGCTTCAAACAACAGGATATCCATGAGATCGAAGGATTTCTCTGTCAGCTTCGCTCGTTTTATGAGCTTTTTGGCTTCATTAGTTAGCATTTTTTTGCCCCGATGAAGTCGGCGAATCAGCTTCTTGTCCTTGTCAGCATACGCTTTGCCAAACACTAATGCTCTAGCCATACAGATATTATCGGTGTTCTTTATCTGCACTACAGACTTCATCTTTTTCAATTTCCGATATAACAATTGCGGAACCAACCGCCGACACCCCCCATTTGGCAACTCCGTGTATTGTACAGATATTTCAAAAGTGTCGTCAAGAACAAAATTGTCGTTTGACTGCAGTACCTTTTCAACTTCGTCCATCCATCGTCTGACATCCAGTTGCGAGCGTTGAATAGGTGGCGTCCAAATTGGTCGCTCTAACGAATGGGAATCAATCCGCAGGCGAACTAAATCTTTGTCCCCGACATCACGTAAAACTGACTGAAGGATATGTTCCAAAATAAAGGTAAGTACTACTGGAATTTCCACAAAGGGGACATGATCCAGTTGGGAAACCTACAACGGTACCTCAAGTGATGAATGGAATCGGGCTACTGTAGTTGCAACATTATTAATCAAATCATTTCGTAAAGCCTTGTGGTCGTTCTTTTGTCTTCAAGATTGTAGGTCCCTGGTTACAATCAAGGCTGCGTAATAATTATGTTATAAAAGCAAACCAAAAAATTATGAAATTTTAAAATTGAAAATAACTTTCAAACAGCATTTCGAAGTCTTTGTTATTAGCATCTGAAAACTGTAGTGGCTATAGTGGTAATATAATAATAAGCAATAATGATAATATTTATAAGAATAATAAGTTTGCAAAAAACTTACTTTTACGGTAAAACACTTGAAATGGAGCTTGTATTTTCTGGAAAACTTTTCGCCTTTGCTCTCGATAGTAACGTGATCATCGATGTCGAACGGTTGGTTTTGAGTTTCAAGGTCTTGCTGCACCGGCTTCTGTCCACCTGTTTGATTGGTAACATTTTTGGTGTCGTCAATCCGGTCCGCCAATGCCGGTGAGGTGTTACAGTCCGATAATTCAGCTGAAGACAATGTGTCTTCACACACCCAATCGTCCAAACTTGCTAAAAGTGCACAATCATCTAGGTCGTGTTGGGATAACTGGTCCATTTTGAAAAACAGATATCGAAAGGACGTACTCCGTATGGCAAACAGTACATTAAAAAGCGTTAGAAATAGCGCTGTGTACGAAATCTACCACAGCGTTTAATGAAAACGATAGGCTGGAACTAATAAGGTTTTCATAATCCAGAAGGTAACTGCATGGTTGTGAGCACGACCGGTACTTGGCACCAGGTACGCGTTACCATGGTAACGGTACCTGTACCATGTACCTCGGCCATGTACCATGGTACATGGTACATTCAATCACGGCATACTGTGTTGTGGTTAGTATACAAATCAAATTTACAAAATTATTTCCATTTATCCACATATCCGTGCAGATGCATATGCACAGGTGGTGCGTATACTTGTGCGCATGTGTGCAGATGCTCATACACACTTGCGCATCCGTGTAAATGCAAATGCACATGCGCAGAATTGGCGTGAGTTAAACAAACGTACTACTGTGATGAATCCTTGCAGGGGATTCCTTGTCATCGCAGCGTGCTCAGCATACACAGCCCTTACTTTCGCGCTGCCTTCACGCACAACTGGAAAGAATCCTCTGAACCTGTTTTCCGGCTGGCCAATATCGACAACCTCACGTTGCAGGAGTAAGTCTCCGTATTTGGTAACAGCATGGCACGGTGTCCATTCAGCTGTGATGAACTTCAGAGCGTATGAATGAATGGGGAACCTGGAAGTGCAAGTTGTGATTGAATAGTTCTGTGTTTTACCCGGAGCCGGAGAGTGGAGACTGCTTTTTGCTTTCATGGTTTGTGAATTTGAGCACCAGTCTTGTTATATCTTTCTGTTACACTGCAATAACATTTAGTGTTCCTTCACGATTAGACTTGATTCCTTGCAGGTTGGTGGCGTATGCGTATACGATGAATCTGCGCTTGAGCGATGACACCGTTGTGCCAGTCTTGATTGCGGCGCAGTTCCTGCAGATGACTCCGGTGGCCCGAATGTGCTGGAAATACGTGAAACAGCACCTGTCCAAGTCCAACTGCCTGGACGTCCACGCGCTGGCTTCGCAGCCCAGCAATCCCCGCCTGGCCAGCGCAGCTTTGCACTTTATCCAGCTGCACTTCCAGATCTTGGCGCAAAGCCAGGAATTTCTGGAGCTGGACGCGCAACAGGTACTCGGTCTGCTTTTCTTTGATAATTGTGAATGCGTGATCGCAAAATTCGTACGCTGTGTACAAATTCAATTACAAGTTGCGGTAGGATTAGAAATTTGAAATTACAGCATTCCAAAACCAAATTGGGCTTCGAATATTTGAAACGGTTCGAAATAATAAAACTAATTCTTGTAATAATTACCATTTTATTATTTTAGATGGACAGATCATGTGAAATGCTGATTTGGTAAAATAAGTACTGTACTACGAAACGATTGTTTTAAAGGGAAAATAAAGTTTTTTTTCGGTTTCGAGTTTTAATTTATTTGGACTCGGTTTTTCGAATAATTTCAAAACTGTTGTTCGAAGTTCAGCCTTAATAAGCGACTATAATTATGTCTACTTAGTACATTTGACATGTGAGTTTGTTTGCAGCTGGCTGCACTGATCGCATCGGATGCAGTGGACGTGTTCAGTGAGGACCAGGTGTGGGAGACGGTGATGCGCTGGTTGGACCACGACCGTCCCGGACGACTTGCGAACATGCCCGTCGTCCTGCACAACGTCCGTGCTCCCTTCCTCAGCGATCAGTATCGGGAGAACTGGAAGTCCGCGATGGCCGCCAACGGACTGCCTCTCGGGGAAGGGCAGGGCACTGCAGAACGGCATTCGTATGGTGAGGACTACGCAGTTGTCTGACTTGCTTTCCGCGTTTTGACTTCGGTGTAAAAATACGTGGGAGACATATGTGGCGCTGCCAAGTGTTGGTATTCACCTGAGTCATGAAGAACTCGTACTAGATACTGTTTGCCCTTACGTCGTACTGACTCGTACCTTGTTAATGAGTGTTCGTTAGCACTGTTATTGGCTAATTGTGTGAAGGCTGTTGCCGATAAGAAATAGCGACAGCGTTTCTTACAAAATTAACAGAATTACCGAAGTGCTGTACGCACGTTTTTTGACAAACAAAAAATTGACCGTTGTTTTATTTGGTTTGTTATATTCCAGGTGCGCAGGATGTGATCCTTTGTGTGGGTGGTTTCCTGGGCGACAACGACAAAACTGCCGTGTACGCTTTCAGCCCATCAATCCCAACCGTGTGGCGCTTGGAGGATCTGCCCGCTGACGCCGATGACTGCCGCACGGTGCTGCTGGACGCCGCTTCCTTTCTGATTTTCCACCATAATGGTATGCACATCGTGCAACGCGACAGCCACTACACGGGTCTCCCGTGACAAGTGGCGCGAGGTGGACCCCGACGCCGCGCTGGAATACGACGGCTGCCGCGCTGGATGGTCGCATCTACGTCTCCGGTGGCAATGCCTGTGACGATGATAGACGGAACGTGGAGGCCTTTGACCCTAAACGCAATTCCTGGAGACCAGTCGCCCCGCTGCCCGTCTACCTGACCTGCTTTGAAATGGTGGCTTCCTGCGGTCGACTGTTTGTGTTGGGCGGGGAAGGCGACGAAGGCGGCGATGAAGAGTATGGCCGATGGGTTTTTCCGTACGACCCTGATACAGATAAATGGACTCGACTGCGCGATAAGCCGACCGCAGACATCGGCAGACATGTCTGCGTGGGTGCAGAAGGGTTGGTTTTCGTTATCGGTAAGCGAGTTGAAGTTAAAGATAACATGGCATGGCATCCTTCAGTATTCACTTCGTACAGTCGATTCGATTATTTTTAACTCTGGCTTATTCAAGTGAATCAGAATGTGGTTGTATGCGGTTGTGTATGAGAATGCACAGCCGAAGCATAGGTCTGTAGAAAAACTGTAGTATATTGTATAGGTCAAGAGGATGCGAAACGGTTTGTGCGCGTGGATGCTTACGACCCCGCCACCGGCCAGTGGGTGAGAAAAGGTGGGTTCTATTTCGTTGTTAATCTTTATAGCGTGTGGAGCGATAGAATCTGATATGTTCTTCAACTTTTCTCATATATTTTTGCCGCTTCACGTTTTTATATTCTGAAGTTGGGAATCCAAGCACTTTTATATCACCACAAAACGGTGTTTTTAGAAATTAACCCAATAATCGTAAAATCCTTCTGCTTACGAAATTAAAAAAATTAATTTAATTTTTAAATTTGGTTTTACTCAGAAATTGCATAGATATCCATCATATTTTTTTATACAATCAAACTGAAATTTAAAACTCCAGCGTAGATGCAGAAAGTTAAGCGATCATTGGGAAATCGTGTAGTTCCCTTTGTGTGTTTTCCTGTACACAGAGTACAATTCAGAAATCGCAACTCAAAAGTGACCGAAATACGCAAGATATCGCAGTATTGTTGGTATTTGCGATTTGTTATTGCAGCGGATCTGATCAGGGAGCGCGTTAACCCCGGATGCGCGTACCTGAATGGGAAGCTGTACGTTATTGGAAGGGACCGATGGGTAGAGGATGGATACTCCAGCATCGAAGTGTACGATCATGAGACGGAGAGCTGGACGCTGCACGAATGTCAAATACCGGAGAGCGAGTACGGCTTCGATTGTGTGGTCATGAAAATGAAACCCGGCTGACGCACGATCCGACCAACGGCTAACCATGTGTGGTTTATTTTCCGGTTGTGTCTTGATTGCATTTTGAATTGTCAGATCCGTTTTTTGCCGTATGTTTCAAGCCCTTTTAATGACGTTGTGATGTTTTTGCCGGAATTCCTATGTGGACGGCGAAGCGATATTGGGTTTCTTCGAGAATTATTAGAATTACGGAATATAACTTATTTCACCTATTAGTGCACCTCGCTGTATACTTTTTTAGCACGTTCTTAGTTTTATCACCGTTTAACGAACACAAGAAAAAATAAAAGTCGGAAGAAATTCAGGTGCATTGCCTTGAACAGACTGCGCTTTGGCTCGCCTGGTTTGAGTAACCACTATTAAATGCCGGCAGCTACGGTTTGTTTCTCTACTGAGTCATTGATGTACTGTAACTGACGTACTGTATTTGAAATCATTGACGTACCGCTTCAATTATTTAAAAGGTCTCAAAAATAAAAGAATTTGTTTTTTCAGCAATTAGCATTTTATAATTTTAAATGGAGAAAGTATATATGTAAAATGCGGATTTAATAAAATAAGTTCTGTACTATAAAATTTAAAACTGTTTTAAGTCGCTTTCTTTGGATTTCGAACACTTTCCATATTTCAACAGGCTTCCTTTTCGTATTGTTTGATAACTGCTGTTGGAAGTTCAGCCTTACTCAGCGACTATAACTATTTGAAAGTAACCAAAATCTTCATGATGACTACACTCTACTGTGTCTCAACATATAACATTCGGCATGCGCTTAGTGGCAGTTGACGGCGCTGATCGCATAGGACACAGTGGAGGTGTGCATTGAAGACCAAGTCTGGGAGGCGGTGATGCGCTGGTTGAACCAGGACCGTGCCGGACGAATGGCGCACGTGGCCGCTGTCCTGCAGAATGTCCGCGCTGCCTTCCTCGGCGACCAGTATCGCGAGAAGTGGCAGTCTGCAATCTCCGCCTATGGAGTGCCTCTCGGGAATGGGCAGACTTCACCACGCCATTCCTACGGTAAGGACCTTGCAGTTGCTTTAATAACCTTGCACGATTTAAATTCATAACAAAATAATTCGTAATCCATTGTTGTCGTGTGATATGTAGGTCTTGTGTTTGCATTCCACTTTGTTTTATTGACTTGCTGGTTTCAGGGGTGCAGGACGTGATCCTCTGCGTGGGCGATTGCGACTTATTTGCGAGTGCGTGCGTAAATTGTTTAAAAAAGGCCGTACAGGTAAAGCGTGCAGATGGTGCGGGTGGCGGGCGTGACGTCCTTGACGAAGGAAATATGCGATAAGTAACTGCAACTCCTTGTCAAGCTGCTTTGATCTAGGGATACAACAACATCTGTGCGTATTTCGGCCGACTTGATGATAGCTTTCCACAGATGACAGACGCGGCGGCAGTGCGGTCGATTCACGCACCGTTTCCAGGGAGAGGAAGGCTTCCTTCCGCACTTCAAAAAGCCAACGCCAAACCGCTTTCACCGACACTCAATGGCCTCATAATCATATTCCGACTCTTCCGGCTTCTCCAGTAACCGACGGTAAAATCGGGGTACTGTTTGTGACGCTCGAACGCCTCCGCCTATAGTTAGCAGAAGCAAAAGGTTACAGTTCAGTTATGTACTTCTAAAATCAAAATTTTTGAAATGCCATTGCTAACAGGGACTTACCATATCGTCGGCAGGATCTGGAGGCGTTGCAGACAGTGCATCTCCGACTGTGAATCTTGACAAACTGCAGCTCGGGCTCCAGTTCGACTTCGCGGATCAGCAGCGAGAAGAAGACACAGACGGCATCGTCCAGTACCTGTTAGGCACGCTGCATGCGGCCATGACGAATGGAAATGGCATCCCGCGAAAACGCTGATTTTATCGTTCACGGAGCTGGATTTCTGTTCAGTGGCGTTGATGGAGGACGGAAACTGTCGTCGCGAACTGCTTCCCTACGACCACATTTGCGATCCCGTGGGAAATCCACCCCAGCCCGTATCCCATCGGACGAACGGTCGCTCGTTTTCCCAATCGACGATCAGGCGCGGCGGAGTGTTGTCAGTTCAGATTTCTCTTCCAGGTTGAAAACGTAGCCGTGGGGCAGCACACCGCCCAACTCTACATCTTTTGCGTTCCATGCGTACACTGATCCTCCATGTTCTTCGTACAGGCCCTGAAAGCAGTTATCGGTCTAGAACAGCCCGGCCTTTGATCCTTGCAGTTGATAAGGCTTTTAATCTTTAAAGTTTTGATGCTTAGGTTAGTTAAAGTTCTGCATGTTATTAACGCAAGGTTTCGGTTGTTTCATGGCAGCAGTCTTGCGGGCGAAACGAAGAAATTAACACGTGGTATACATACTGCAGCTGGTACATGGTACCGAATGCCCAAGCACGGCTAGGTTTCTTTCGCTTTCGCACTTGTTTTTCGTTGCTGTAAGACAAGAAATAATTTTTGGGGCCGAATAGTTTGTATACACTGGCGTACAAAAACCCGTCGGTGCGCGCGACATCCGGATGTGAAGTTATGGAGGAAGTACTTACCAAATTAAAGATAAGTACTTACCAAATTACAGCGGAAACGAAAACATTTATTTTTCCAAGCAACAGCATTTATTTTCCCCCTACCAAATGGAAACATATCACCAGCCAACTCGTAATTTCGTTAGTTATTATCACGATGTTTTCATAAAAGAAAGAACAGAAGCAGGAAGCTGCAGAACGCCAAAGACGAGAAAACAACGTCCACAACCAACACAAAAACCGCGCTACAAGATGGCTGCAGTGCAAGACATCGCTTTGAAGGAATTGCATCATCTTATTAAACTAATCCGAGTCATCCGACCACTCGCAGGAGCCTTCAAGGTCACACAGGTTCATCAGAACGCTCAAGGCAGTGCGAGACAGTCGCTCCCAGCGCAGATCTTGCAGCCCATCCGCGCACCACATCTTCCCTCGGTAATGCAAAGACGAACGCGGATCCGCGGTCTGGGTTCGGCATAACAGCTACCAAACAGAATGCGCTTGATCAGAAACTGAATCAGTCCCTAACTATTCACGACTGATTTTCATAACATTCATGAGATTCGCTTACTATACAAACTACCATGCGCAACAGCTCCTGGCTCTCGTCCGCCGCGATCGCCGTCAACCACTGCGAGATAGCCCGCACGCCGTCGTCGCTGGGTACCGGTAGTGCCATCTCCATCGCATTCTACACCGTCAGCGCCAGGTCCCCGTTCAGTGGCAGACGCGTCTTAACAATGCCGAAGTGCAGCTGCGGGCCAGCGTTCGCAGAACCGTCCCAAGAAGGCAGTAGACCATCCAGACAATAACGCAAAGACAACCGGCAGCGTACCAGATAAATGGCAGTACACGGCAGATCGCAACACGATGCTATGAGGGCATCGAGGGGGCCCGGGAATGACACCCCAGGTGCCTTCTGGTCGTCGGGAACATCCACCTCGCAGTAATCATGGTTCATGGGGACAAATGACGACAAGTGCGACGCGCCGTCAAGCGGATTCCGTGGTCAGTCAGGGCCACGTAGTGAATAATATCCAGCACCATGGAGAAGTTTATCCTGTCGATGCATTGGTCGCCATCGTGCAGAATAGTGTGTTTGATGGACGAGCGCATGCATTTGGGTGCCATGAGATTATATTGCAGATTATTCAAAGGGCCGCGTGCAGCGCTCGTGTCGATGACTACGAGGGCCTTAAAAGTAGGCAAGTCCAGAATAGCGTCCCATGCTGAACACACTGCGCGCAGCTTGGTCTGTGTCATCGTGTCCAAGTAGGCGAACACCTCCAGCCACTCATCCACGCCCAGTGAAAGCAATTCATCCGTCGTCTCGCCGATATCCAAAGATTCGGACGGCGCCTTCATCCCACGCAGGATCTTCTAAACACGACCAACCAGCGCCTTATGCAACGCCCGAACAATTTTCTGTAACAATGAACAACACCAATTCCACCAGACCGGAATAAAACAAACGGACACTAGAAACCACAATGAAATGTAGATATCCGACTACAGGGAGACAGTGACGAATTAGCGTACCTGTGCCCTGTCTTCGGCCTGCCGCAGCGGAAAACAAACGTCACCGCGGAAAACAAACGTCACCGCGGAAAACAAACGTCATCGGCGATATCGACGCAGACCACCAGCCCTTTGGTAGACCGCTGTTTATCCTGCAGCACTTGTGCTGGTGAAACCGCACGACACTCAGCGGGAAGCGGCATACTGCGCTTAACAAAGCGCCCCGGTGCAACTGGCAGCAGCTTCGTCACAAACACCATCTCTGATCCCTTATCATCTTCCTTCGACCAGTCGTTTGGCACGGGGTGGCGAAGACGGTCCCTGGGGACAAAGTCCGTCCAGGTGACGCCGCAGTTATCCCGTCCCTGGACGATGGCCACCGTGGCGTAATCTGGCCTAAAGGATGAGTGAGCATGTGACGACGGATTCAGCATGTTCCGGGCCCCGGGGCCACCAGCGCCACGCTCCACCGGGATACTGACGGCGCAGCACGTCCATGGGGATCGTCTTCCAAGCCTCGTCACTCCATAAGAAATCATATAAATTCGGAAAAACGTCCGGAAATTCCCAGGGCTTAGATCGGAAGACTTGGTTGAATGGAAAGAGCTCGCGTCGACGACCTGGGCACAGCAGACCGATGTAAAGCCCGTTGTTCGCCTCGTCCACCACGCGGCCGTGCAGCAGGACGTTACCGTCGACCAGTACGTTGATGTCATGGGTCCGTGCCACAAACATGGCTGCCGATAAGACTCCGCGCAAAATCTGCCTACGCACAATGCAGGCCAATCTGCCATAAAAAAGACTTATAAAACAAAATTAATTTTATATAATTAACCTTTTACACCCTGCCCGTTTGGAAGGGTGTAAAAGGTGGCAGTGGCACCTTTTACACGTTGGCTTTTACACACTTTTACACCTTTTACACTTTTACACCTTTTACACAGTGGCAAGTTATTTAAGTTTTCTTAGGATTTCAAAAAATATTCTGACAATCAGAAAAGTAACCTAAGAATAACGTAAATAACCTAAGAGATCCAAAAACCTTAAGAAAAATTAGAATAGCTTAAGAAACTTAAGAATAACCTAAGAAGCCTAGCAAAACTAAGAAACTTAAGACTAACCTAAGAAACTTAGGAAGTCTAAGAATAACCTAAGAAAACTGAAAGACCTAAGAATAACCAAAAAAAACCTGAGAACCTAAGAATAACGTAAGAAACCTAAAAATTTAAAATTTTGAGCAACTTTTGTGCTACATAAATATTAGCGCTCATTGCTTTGGTAGGCGGGTATAGAGCGTTGGCTGGCCGCAGAGTAGAAAATTATTATTTAATAGGAATGTGATAAACTTTTTCGGAGTGGCTATTTTGCCCCAGTGTGTGGGGGGAAAATAACTACTGGGCTATTTTGCCCCAGTGTGGCCCGTCTAATAGCCAGTTGGCTATTTAGCCCCCTACTGGGGTTTCATAGTCCTTGGCTATTTAGCCCCATTGTGGGCGTCAGGGTAGCCTTCTGGCTATTTAGCCCCATAACACTTTTCGAAGGTAACGGAAAAAAATGTTATAGGTTGGTACATTGCCGTGGCCATTCCTGGATTATTTTGGTATGTCATGTGCAAATATTCAGTTATTAACTTCACCAGTGCGCCTATGAAACATTAAAAACTGCTCGTAGCGATCTTTCTCGCACTGTTTCCGTTGAGAATGTCGTGTAATAAACTCAAAGGTTAGACGCAGGAAATGGCATAACTTGCATTACGATTGTTTTGAAGTCGCGGCAACCCATGTATAAGCTAATTAAAAAATGCTAAAAAAATGCCATAAAATGCGGGCCCGGTTACAGATCACTTCGGCAGCGTCCATTTCGGCCAAAGTTATTCGGCCGCCATTCACTTCGGCCGTCGTTCATTTCGGCCGTAATTCAGTTCGGCCGACTATCACTTCAGCTACAGTACATTTCGGCCGACGCCCACTTTAGTTTGATTTACAAGAAAACGTTACTTCCGATGAGCAGTTCTTGAAGTGTTATTGTCACCATCATGTCTCCCTTCCGATGACACGAAGTCACGAAGCCTCCCGGGAGATCACTGAAAACCATACCGTAAGACAGTTAGCAAAACATAAAAAATTAAAGAAATCTTCATACCATTAATCACCCAAGGTTAACCAAAGAATACCTATGAAAACATAAAAAAAGTAAAGAAAACCTAAACAGACCTAAGGAACCATAACAAATCTTAGAAAACCTAAGAAAACCTAAGAAACCTAAGAAACCTAAGAAACCTAAGAAACCTAAGAAACCTAAGAAACCTAAGAAACCTAAGAAACCTACGAAATCCAAGAAGCCTAAGAAACTACTATGAAAACCTACGAAAACAAAAGAAAATCAATGAAAACTAAAAAGACCTAAGAAACGATAATAAATCTAAGAAAACCTAAGAAACCAAAGGAACCGTAACAAACCTAAAAATTCTAGAAAACGTTGGAAACCCGAGAAACCTATGATGGCCGAAATGTGTAGTTGCCAAAATGACCGTTGGCCGAAGTGAACCTGTGCGGCCGAAATATAACGCGGCCAAAGTGATCGGACGCGTGCGGGCTTGGTATAAACCTCAACAGACAAACAAACTGTTTGCTCGGCTGGTCGGAAGTAGTTTTTGGCGCAGCGCTCACAATACAATTTTGGATGATTCATCTATTTCTGGCTCATTAGAGCAAGGGGTTCGGCTGCAGAAGACGGGAACTACGAGAACGAAACCTCTATTTCGAAATCACTGATCGGCATTTTTTGCACACAGTGGCTTTCGAAACTACGGGAAGTTGCAGCAATAGTTCCCGTCAGC